AAGAAGAAGAAGAAGAAGAAGAAGAAGAAGAAGAAGAAGAAGAAGAAGAAGAAGAAGAAGAAGAAGAAGAAGAAAAGAACTTTGACTTCTCGTCCAAGAAGCTTCATCACTATTGATCACAATTTCTACCAGTTCAGATCGGTTCGTCTGAACCGGTAGCGTAAAACTCAGGTGGCTCCGCCCACCCACCCCAGCTCTACGGCATCCCATTTAGGCCCCTTTTTTTAAAGGCAAAGTACATGCACAATAGGCACATGCTTACATGTGCCTATTGTTAGGGAAGGGAAGTGATTACCACCCCTTTTTGTGATGATCACAGCAACCTCACATCCATGAGATCAGAATTCAGGGGCTTAGCAACTGGCATATATTTATGATGGTTGCTTCATCCCAGGTTCATTATTTGTGACCTTCCCTTCCCATGAGCAGTCAATGGGGGAAGTAGGATCCATTGAATTGCAGGGAACAAAGGTCATAGAATCATGTGGACACGTTTAACAACTGCATTGGTCAACAACAGAGATGCTACGTCCCAATTGTTGATGTAAGTTGAGGACGACCTGTATGTTATGTGGATATTAAATTAGATATTCCTATCCTGCTGTGATGACTCCTCTGGGCGCTACCCCAGATACCTCTCCAAATGTCAGCTCAGAGGAAGATGAACCAGTTGCACTCATGTCCAGAGGGGAGTTGGTCAAGGGCTCCAAGCAGGCATCTGAGAAGGATTTGGCTGGAGCACAGCTGCAGTAGGACAGCCCTGAGGCTTCAGGTGGGGAAAAGACACAGCTGCAGGCGGTGAGCGATGAGGTGGAGCAACCGCCTTCTGCACCTGATCCGAGAACACATAAGGCAGGAGCCATGAAGGTCAGCCAGATTACTCATGAGGAGGCAGCCTCACCCCTCTAGATGGGTTGCAACAGGAGCTGCTTGTTTAGCACGGCAGACAGAAGGAGGCAATGCTGGGAATGTGTTCGTTTCCTTGCGGTGTGTTCTCGTCTTGAACTTTGGATCGTGTCCCTTCAGCTGTGGCCTTGCCTTTGCCTTGGGAACTTGCTTTTGCGTAGTGGACTGGACTTGCCTTTGCCTTGACGACTAGCGTTGGCTTCATCTGAGTAGCCTGTGGAACTCATTGCGTAGCCTGTGGAACTCATTGAGTGGTCTGTGGAACTCAATTGAGTAGCCCGTGGAACTCAATTGAGTAGCCTGTGCAACTCAATTGAGTAGCCTGTGCAACTCATTGAGTAGCCTGTGGAACTCATTGAGTAGCCTGTGGAACTCATTGNCTATTGCAGGTTGACTCTGCCAACTGACAACAGTTCGATCCTGACCGGCTCAAGGTTGACTCAGCCTTCCATCCTTCCAAGATGGGTCAAATGAGGACCCAGATGGTTGGGGGCAAGAGTCTGACTCTGTAAACCGTTTAGAGAGGGCTGTAAAAACACTATGAAGAGGTATATAAGTTTAAGTGCTATTGCTATTAAGGAAAGATATAAAAAATAAGCAGTCCAGAAGAAATGACTCACGTGTGATTCAAATATTAAGTATTTTTCTCTCTCTCTCTACTCCGATATAATCCGTCTCAAATTGTCTTCAGTCGCCCATCAGAGAAAGGCCTTTTAAAATATAACGTGACAGAAATCGAAACCGAAAACAATGATTTTTGACAGTGGAAACTCTAAAATTAGCGGTTGGTTCTCTGGTTGCTTAATTGGTGACACCAAAGTGAGGACGAGTAAAAATTCTAATTAAAAAAATCACTAACTCACATTTCAGCCAATTGAAGCCTTTCGTTTTGTCAGCTTTTCAAACAACTGCTCTCCTCCAAAAATGATACCCAAGCATAGTAGGAAAATATAATTACTGTTTTAATTCCTTAAGTGAGCTACACAATTGCAAGTATTTTAGGTTTTAATTAAAACTTGAGGGGAAGACAATAAGCTGTTGATTAAAAAAAAAAGTCTGGTAGAAGGATTATAAATAATTTGGAACCCTCCTAATTCATTGTGTCCTCTTGTAGAAAAGAGAGACATAAACTGAGAGGGTACATAAAAATATTATTAAAAAATATAATACGTATATTTGTGTGTTTGACTGTGAGCTTTGGCAGCCGATTCCAGTTTTATTAGAGGAAAAAATACATCCAAGGCAAGTGAGTCATTATTTATTATTATCCTTATTATTATCATTAGCAAAGACCTTGCTTTGCTCCAGAAATTACTAAAGGTTTGAAATAATCGGACTGAAGGATGTGTTCTTTGGTATGTGCTTTCTAGTTTAATGTAGAAATCCAATGAATGAATGAATGAATGAATGAATGAATGAATGAATGAATGAATGAATGAATGAACGAACAAATAAACAAATGAATGAATGAACAAATAAATGNTAAATGAAATAACAAATGTATAAGAATGACAAATGTAAAGAAGAATAACAATTATGTGAATGTATACTTAAAATGGTATGTAAGAGAATAAAAAATAACAAAATTTATAATAAAAAAATTGTTTACATTTCATGTACATCTTAATCACTAAAGGTCAAAATCAAAACGACCTTGAATCTAACCCCAGCCATTTACTTACTTAACTTTATGGGGGTGATTAACCAATACAAGAGAATTGGTATTCAAATGTCCATGTCCCAAACTAAATCGACAATGCCAGAATAGTTAAGACAAGTATATACAGACCACCCCCTCCAAATTACTAAAAGAAAATACGAAATCAAAATAGGCTAAAAGGTTCGCTCAGGCTCCACATATATCTCCAGCAATGTATCATCGTATAAGGTTTTTAAGACATGGCTTTCATTACAATATAATGTATTCGTTACTGCCCGAAGGATCTTAACAATATTGGCTTTTTTTTTTTAAAGGCACTGGATGCAATCTCAGCAATACAATACAATGCAATAGAGGCCGGATTGCTTGGGGCTTTTCTCTGACAACAGAACCGTAAAGTATTTTCAATATTTTCCAAGCAAGAATAGGGAGCGCCCTGTCATCTCCTCTCGCTCCTTCGCCTCTACCTCTTCCCGCAGGTACTCGCAGCGCTCCGCGTGAGGCTGCCCGGCTGCCCAATTCTTTTGCTTCCTCTTCATCTGCCGGTCGAAAGGGCTGAGGGCTCCGGGACCCGTGGCGGGACGAGACCCCACAGTCCCGGGCGCCGAAGGGCTGAAGCGGCGGCGGAACCAGAGCCCGCCGGGTGTGCCTCTCGCCGTCGCTGTCCGCAGACGGCAAAGGCACGATGCCCGCAGAAACGCCTTCGCTTCCATTGCTCCGCCGGCGCCAGCTTTGCAAAGACTGCTAGAGCTAGTAAAGAGAGAGCAACAAACGCCTGTCGGGTTCGCAATATCGAGCTCAGGGTCACTTCTGCACGCTAGCTTGGAGCTAGAGGAAGCAGACAAACCTATTTGAAATAAACGGATTGACTCATTTATACTGCATATTTAAGTAGAGGAAACATTCGTGTTTTTTTAAAAAATACATCTGAGAGCGAAGTTTCTTAACTTAGGGGGCTGGACTAGAAGACCTCCAAGGTCTCTTCCAGCTCATTCTATTCTATTCTAAAAGTAAAGATAGACCCTGCTTGAATTGCTTGAAAAAGGCAGGTGGGAAAAGCATAATAAACACCTCACTCCTGAGTTCACCGCACCGGCTTCTTTTTATGGGTTTAGGCTATTTCAGTCTGCTGTGATGATCCTTTGAAAAGTAGAGAGAGGCTAAAATCAATGCACTTGAATAGAAGTTGGTGCAAGATTGCTATGTAGTGTACAAGCTTTTTTTGATCCAGAAAGTCGATTAAAATTCTGAAAGAACAGGAAGTAATAGAGGAGAAATAAGCAATAGGTTCCTGTATCAGTTACAGCTAGGATTTATCTAAACCATTGTAGGAAGTTATCACCCAGCCCTCTCCCAGAAAAATGAAATACCCTAGGAAATATTGAAAAGGCAGAATATTTCTCTCGATGTGAAAAGGANGTCAACCTTGAGCCGGTGAGATTTGAACCGCTGAACTGCAGCTAACAGTCAGCTGAAGTGGCTGCAGTACTGCACTCTAACCACTGTGCCACCTCAACATGGGATTCAGTTCTACGGAACAGGATAAGCTGTCTACAGCTTCTGTAGCCCATCCTCTTTTGCAAACTCAAATATCACACCCAAAGGTGCTTTTTCAGGAGGCAACTGGACTGTTTTTTAAAAGACATTTCACTTCTCATCCAAGAAGCTTCTCCAGCTCTGACTGGATAGTGGGGCATGGGAGGATTTATATCCCTTGATGTGGCTATGTCCTGAGTGTTTTCAAAAGGAAAAACAAGACAATCCAGTTGCTTCCTGAAAAAAGTACCTTTGGGGTAACCATGACCTGGATGAATGAGAATCTCTGCAGACTCAATGATCACACTGCCATGATTTTAATAAGAAGTTACAAATAAAAACAGATATAGTAAGCCTTTTGTATCATGTCATGTGTATGTATGTCTACGTGTACATACAGATTATGTCTATATAGATATCTGGTTTATCCACACTTGATTTATTCATTGATGAGGTTTACCAGACCGTATTTATTCTTGGACTTCATTTCTGGGGAAAAAATACAATGAAATGCAAACATTTCAGAAGATGACTATGGGATGAATGGCAAAAGTTACAGGAGACAGGAGCAGAGGCAAAACATGAGGTCATAGAACTACAGACATAGAAACTGTGTGAAAAATATGAGGTTAGTTGGAAAGCTGAAAGCAAAAACAGATAGGGGAACTCTTGGCTGCCAAGAAAGAGATAACCAAAATATCTCATGGAGAATGGCTTGTTGTCTGTAAGCTAAAGAATTTCCTTAAGGTTACAAAGACCTATGATATAAACAGCAGCTGTAAGAATCCCAGGGAGAAGCTGGACAATTCCCAATGAGAACTAAGCTTACCAACACTAGCTGAGACACTGAGGCCAAAAACAGCTCTGACCTCTGATGTAATTCCATATACTCTGTGAGAAGGCCTCTTCTACTGTATGAATCATTATGTCTGTCAATAGGCAACATTAATAAGAAACCTTCTCTTTTGTAAAATTGAGTAGTACTAAACTTGAGCGCTTGTATCATGTTTGAGTTAAACAGTTAAGACTGTGACCATAATTGGTGAATAAAAATATGCTATTCGCACATAAACAAACACACACACTTATACACAAACACACTCAACTATGCATTATTTTTAAAGGTGAGCCTTAAAATTTCAATAAAACCACATCAGAAGCATGCAGCAAACAGAGCTCGGGGGCTGGAAAAAAGTGCAAAGGAAGAAATGCTTATGGTTCCCAACTACAAAAAATGCATTCATTGCTTTTTCTTATTCAAGAATGGCTGCTGGCAATTACTTCTGCTACACCCTTTTGCACATCAATACAATGTTCATTTCTTATAAAATTTGCTAATATATTTGTTAATATCATCTATAAACAATCCCAAACCTGAAAGACTCTGGGTTCACCAACAAAACTGCGAAGCCCTTATCTGCGCTGACATAAGCACGGAGGGCAAATCTGCGCCGTCTGAAGCGCTAAGGAAAAACGTGACCCTACCGCGATGACCTAATTGCGGAGGGCAAATCTGCGCCTTCCGAAGCACTCAGCACCCTAACTCTAAACCTAACCCTAACCCTAACGCTAACCTTAACCCTAACCCTAACCCTAACCCTAACCCTAACCCTAACCCTAACCCTAA